TGCTGACAGAATCCTGTGCTGACTAGGAAGAGATAAAAATATGACATATACGCAAAAAATTGAAGGCTGGAAGATGAATAGGCCTTCCAGGGAGTTGATCTTTACCGATCAGATAAAGATTCTTCAGGTCTCTCTCTTGCAGTCTGTGCTGCATCAAAAGCTGCCTTTCAGAGATAGTAAAGTGCACTTGGAAATGGGGGACAAGACCTTCTAAAATGGACACTTTGAGATTGATGGCAGCTGGGCTTTCGGTCTTTATTTTTGCTGTTTTGCTTTTCTATTTTTTTGTGTATGTAATCTTTTGTAATCCCTTTAAAAGTTAAAGAAAGGTTCATAGGCTGATGGAGTGAATAACAACACTTGCATCTTATCTATGTTTCCAGTAGCTGCTTTCCTTTAAAGGTAACTGTTCTCTTTGAAAGATTTAGGGAAATCTAGTAGAAGGTAACTCTTGACTACTTTCGAAGTTTGATTTAAAATACTTTTTTGTGGGCAATGAATATCTTTCAAGGGATATTATTTTTTTTAATTGATGAGCTAAGTATTCTGAAAATTCGTGAAAATAATACACCCTGCACACTGTTTAGAAAACGAGAGAGCAGTTCTTATTAAAAAAAAAATAAAAAAAGGTAAAATTAAAAAAAAATAAAGAGATAGATGTAATTGTTTAATCTAGGAAAGTTATTAAACAAATGCTTATTTAATCACAGTGTTTTCAAGCACCTCAAATTTGACATCAGCTACTGTGTCAATCACACTGGCTAAATCTGCCATCAGCTCTTTTGATCCCTTACTTAGAAGCACCATGTCACAGGTGCCAGGCATCCTACAAAGGCACATGAATAGCTGCTACAGCATTCTGTTAGCCTTTGCAGCCTTCTCTTCCTGGTCACAATTTCTCAGTTTATCTACTACTTCAGAGTAAATTCACTGCCATAGTCTGAGAATCTGTATTCTCCAGCAGACTGTACAAAGTAGGGTTCTTTAAGACAGAATGTTTCTGTTACATCTTGGTTTTGTTCCTTTTTCACTTTTTAGTGTTGTTTTGGTTTTGATGCTCTGTATCCAAAAAGATGATGTTAGATAGAGCTTCGTTCAAGACATGAAAACATCTCACAGCTTTCATCTTCACAGCACACAATACACAGGCAAGGAGGAAGAAATGATTAAAAGCTAATATGCAGAAATATTGTTTTTCATGTTTGTTTTAAGCCATTCCTTCTTATTTTCTTACACATAAAAATTTGAATTCCAGTATTTTAGTATTTGCTGGAGAAATCTGTGGGGACCTGCAGTGGGTCATGGTGTTAAAGAAGCTGTTGCCATATTAAACCCTCATTGTAACGAGAGGGAGAATGGGAAGTGCCAGATGTCAGCCGGCTGTTGTGCAGCTTCTCTGTTGGTGTTCTCCAGAGACACTTCCATGAAAACAGGGAAGGCCAGACCTGACATTTGCATACCTCAGAAGGAAGCAGACACGATTTCTTTGAGAGATGGAAAATTAGTCCTCCCTTGTGTCACAATAAAGGGCACAGGTAACTTGCGTTTGCTTAACCATCTGGCTATTTTTGACCCCAGAGTCTTGATGTCTTACTCTGACTTGTAACAAAGCTCTCTATGTGGAAGGGTGAATTCGCAGTTATTAGGCTCCATGTTGCTGTAGTAGCAATGTTTTCCCTGCACAGAAACGAAAAGCTTCTGAAAACACCTTAGCTTCGTTATACATATCTATATCTATCTATATCTGTTTAAATTTTATACTCTTATCTTTCCTAAAAATATATGGTATAGCACAGGATAGAGTGATACAGGATTTTTCATATGCAGACTTTGTATCAGCAATGCCTGTATTTTAAAACACTCATTTCTTGAAAATTAAATTCCTGCCTGATCTGTGTCCTTGTAATAGCCTGCACATCAGTGTTGCTAAGGAGTGTTCTGCTGGAGATGAGCTCAGTCATCAGGTTACTGTAGTAGACTGGTCTCTGGGAGTTGATTTTGTATGGTTTTTCCATATGCAACTTATATAGCTGTAGAATCCCAGGATTTTCTGATGCAGTAATAGAAAGTGAAAATACAATATTTATCCCCATTTTGAGAGATCAGATATCTTTTTCTTGTGACCACTCAACTTACAGATTTACTCTAGTCCTGGCTAACAGCCACTCTACTAACTACTTATAACTTGTGTAGCATTTATAGGAGTTGTTGATCAAATGAGGACCTGTTTCATGGAAAACAGTACTGGGGTTGATATTAAGTTGGATAGACTTTAATTGTCTCTCACATACAGAGTACTAGGAAGTACCTTCTAAATGTACATTCCAGCTAAACTGTTGGACACGTTGGAGCTAAAATTTTGAAAAATTTATCTAGTAGTTGGAACAAAAAAAAAAAGATTATTAGACAATAGAGCAAAATACAGTAATGCAAATGCATTAAGCAGTGATGAAGAAATCAAAAAGGTATCTCAGGGTGTTGCTGGAGCCTGGGTGCATAGGCTTGTGGTCATGTGTACTTCCAGTAGGGTGTTGGCTTTGGCTTTTTAGGAGTCAAGGAACAGCTGTTTTCTAATGGTTTATTATTTTTTCTAAACTGGTTGCTTGTACTTTTGTATGAGCTTGAGTACCTTTAACAGAGCTCTGTTCATATACCCAAATAACAGCTTCTCGTTTTGGGAGATATTTTAAATTATAAAGGATGTAGATATTGCATGTAGTGTTATTTTACAAGGTTGCTTAGGCTGTTAGGACGGGTTCTAACTTCAACTTGACTGAAAAATTCTTAAGGAGAATAAAAATACAGTATCTCTTTTGTGAGGACTATTTTTATTCCACATTTGAGACAACAAAAACATCCCAAAACATCTTCTTTTTTTAAAAATTTGCTTTAAGCATTTTCATTTGATAGTGAAGATATGCTGAGGAATCTACCAACAGTGCTGAGGAATTTCAAGCTTGGCTAGAGTTTTTCCATGCATAATTCCTAGTAATGTTAATGGTCAGTATATATTTTTCTTCATAATTGATCTATTAGTTAGTGCATTTGGGTTCTGCTGTCGTTTGTGGTTATTTAGGTACCTTAAGGCAACGAAGAGGAGGGTGAGGGAAATCTGAGGGCAGGGTTAACTGCAGCTATTTACACTTGCAGTAAGTGTTATATCTTGCTTAGCTACAGTCTGATGAAATATGACTTAATCAGCTTGAACTCATCAGAGGATATACAAATTTAGATGCAGAACTGGCTAGATTAAGTGAAGAAATTAGAAGGAAAAAATTATTCTAGTGTATTACAAAAAAACTGAAAATACTGTAGATGCTTATCCAGTGCAAAAGTTGCTGTTTTCCCACTGTAATGCATGAAGTTAGGTTTTTTTTCATTAATGGGGTACTTGGTTCCTGTGGAGGTACTTCCAGAGGGCAATGCCTGTAAGATGCTCGTATCTTTCTGTTAGCTAAGAATCATTTGAATTGACAATAAAACAACTGAGTGGGGACACATTTTGTGGGAGTAGAGCACAGAGGTTTATTGAGATTTTTCTGTTTTTATAGAAAGATTACAAACCTGAAAAAAGGAAAAGATCCTAACTTCTTCTTTCTGAAATGTATCATCCTGGTAGTTGTTAGAGTGGGGAAAAGGACTGCCCTCAGGGGATCAGGTAATACAGCAGTTGCCCTCTGGGACGGGTCTGAGGTGAGGTTCTGACAGCTCCATCTCTGTGGTTCTGGCTTATGTGAACTTTCTGGTCATGTTCCTTTTGGTTGCTAGCAAGAACTGACAAGGTGACTCAACTGAAAATGTGACTTACACCACGAGTTCATTTTGTGTAGGAATTGGTCTGAATATTAGAAGGATCGTCAAACTTACTGTGCACATACCGTTACACAGTAAAGAGTTTGCATCTCTACTTATCTGGTGGATATAGTCAGTCTATGTCTGTTAGAAAGGGACCATGACTCCCTAAAACAGTTTTTTGTTTTGTTTTGTTTTTGAGGCTATAAAATAATTTACTTTTAAAAGTGAGTCACTCAACAGTTAGAACATGGCTGATTCCACATGAAGTACATTCACATGAGGTAGCTGCTTCTTCAGAGTGAGCTGGCTTGCTTTTGGGATCTGTGCTTGCCTCCAGGGCTGTTGGCATGGGGAATGCTGTGTGCAGCTCAGCTGGAGAACACACATTATCTTGGCAACTTCTATGTGCAAAATTATAGTAAACTTCTCATAAGCATGTCCAAACAATTTTTTTTTCAAAGACTTCTGATGTTGTATAAGGAGGAACATGTCATCCAACCCCAATGGTTGTGTCTGTACAAGAGATTGATTAGAAAAAGCATCATATATTTATTCTTGTGCACTGTGCTTTGCTTCCTGTGGTGTTTAAGTGGACAGACTGGATTTCATTCAAATTAATGTAAATGGGAAAAATGCCCTCTGGGAGCATGCCTGTTACTCTCCAGCTGCTAATTCAATCCATGAGACTGGACTCCAGCTAGTCCAAATTACTGAGTTTTTATGGGTCCCTAATAATCACATGGCTGTCAGTAGTTTCTATAATTGAAGCTAAATGATTTAATGGAGAAATAAATGCCCATAATGCAGTGTTTTAAGATTCTAATAAGTACCTGTCATTGGATGGTAGATTAAATTAATATATATAAGGCAAGGTGGTGTGTGTAAGGAGAAAGTATTTCCAGCTGGATATTAGTGGTTTTTGAACTTAACTAGAACTTCTTAAATGATATTGGAGTGGGGGTTAAGTTTTGTAACGCGTGATTATAGTACTTCAATAAGCAAATAATACAGAAAATAGCATTTTTGAAGTAAGGTGGTGCACCTTTATTCAAATATACACAATTTTCAAGTAAGTACAAAAAAGCATAGATATATATAATTTTTATAGAGAAAACATGTATAGGAAAAAATTAAAAAAGAAAGACTTTGCTATGTGAAGAATCAGTAAAGACTAAAATTTATGTCTTCTTTCTCTTGGTCTTCAGCGTCTTGCTAAAGAAGCAGAGAAGTACCAAGCATCACATCAGTGGAGGGATGAGTTTGGGGTAAGTTTCAGTTTCTCTCCTTCTAAAATTCATGGATTTTTCATCTTTGAAATGTTAACCATATTCTTACAAATATGTTGTTTGTATATCCACTATAGAGGAGTCATTGACTATGAATGGACATTTTGTTTAATTCTGCAAACAGAGTCTCAGTCGGGGTAACTAGAGATTAAAGTGAACTTTTCCCTTCAGAAGCTCATAGGGAGCTTCACAGGCCCAGGGATGTAGCTCCAAGTTGTACACAAGACATCTGTTTGTTTTGACACACAGGGAATGATTATAGAGAAGAAATTTGAGTGATGGTTGCTATCAGTTAAAAGTGTGTTACTCCAAGCACTGAAACAGAATCATGGAAAAGATTTTTACAAATTGTCTTTTGCTTATGTGGAGGGGAAAAAAAGCAGGAAGAAGTTTAATACAAGAAGGTTTGGTTATCTACAAGACTTGGGAGTCATAGACTGTTTTTTAGAATCCCTTTCTGTACTTTAATAACCATCTCTTCAATATTCTAGTGCAGCTGAAAGAGACTCTAACCTGGTCAAACAATAAATTATTTTCTTTAGTCATTTCAGACTTTAATGAAAACAAGTGACATGATTGTAAAATATACAACATTTATTTTTTATTACCAATCAAGCCAAATTAATATTGTGCTGCATGATTATAAGCTTCTTAATTTTAGGCTATGGTTCCCTGCTAAGTGTCAAAGTTATTTACTATGCCTTTATTACCTGTTCCTTTGGAAAAAAAGGCAGATGGTGCTTTTACATGAGGTTGCTACAAACCCAGACTGTGTTTGCACATCCACTAGAATCATAGTGACACACAGTTAAATGCACAATTGTTTTTTATAATGTTGTCATGGTTTAACCCCAGCTGGCAAGTAAGCACTGCACAGCCTCTTGCTCACTCCCAGCACATCCGGATGGAGGAGAGAATTGGAAGAGCAAAAATGAGAAAACTTGCGGGTTGACATAAAGACAGTTTAATAAGTAGAGCAAAAACTGTGTACAGAAGCCAAGCAAAACAAGGAATTCCATCAGCACTTTCCATGGGTAGGCAGGTGTTCAACAATCCTCAGGAAAGCAGGGCTTGTTTGCACTTAATGGTGACTTGTGAAGACAAACATCACTCTAAATGTCCTCCCTCCCCCTGCCCCCGCCCATTTCTTCTTTCCCCAGCTTTATATGCTGAGCATGAGGCCGTATCATATGGAGTATCCCTTGGGTCAGTTGGGGTCAGCTGTGCACCCCCAGCCTCCTCACTGGTAGGGCAGTGTGAGATGAAGAAAAGACCTTGACTGTGCAAAAGGCTCAGCAATAAAAAAAAAAAATCCTCAAATTATCAACACTGTTTCCAGCAGGAAAATTAATTCTGCCCCAGACAAAAGCAGCGCAAATTTCTATTCTGATCCAGTGTTACTCAGGCACTTGGAGATCTGAAAACAGATAAACTCTCTTAAGATCAGGACATACAATTCAGATAGGAGTGAATGGCTTTAGGAGTATAGAGAGGGTCTGGACACAGCCTGAATGCTTTTGAGTGTGTTCTCTGCTCAGGCACAGCTTCTAATACATATAAACCACAGAAAGCATATTCCATAGAGATGTTATAATGAGAATACTGCTAATCTCTCGCTCTTGTGAATAGAAAACAAAACCTGCAGGTTTGATGGGCTGAGTGCAGAACTGTGTGAATACAGTCAGAATCTCTTTCTACTCATTTTGATTCTATGGTACATTCTGGCATCCTGTCAACAACACTGGCTCAGACTTTGGATTTCTTTTTAACCTTTCCTTGCAGTAGAAGTCAGTAATACCAGAGAGGCTTCAGATTTTATCAGCATTCATTGCCAAGGAGACATCTCAAAATTATTTTGAAATGTTATTTTATATTAATGTTGTGGCTTAGGCAAACACTATGATCAGTATTGAAAAAACAAATGTGGTTGGATTTATAATAAAGTAACTGCAAACCAAGCTTGTACTTTACTGTTTTGAATTTGGATGAGAACCGTGTGCACCGTATAATAACCTTGACATTAGGTTATGCAATTAAATTTCAAATAAATGTATTAAGCCTCTTATAATTTAATTTGTTCCATTTTTGCCGGAAGTAATCTTTCTTCTCTTCTGGCCTACTTTTTAGAAAATGCCTGCTCAAATTAGTTTGCACACAGATCTTTCGGATAAACTTAATTTTCACTGGAAGATTCATTCTCCTAATGGCTGTGATGGAAAATAGAAGATAGACTGTAAAACTTTGTGCAGTTGAGGGTTCTTAAAGTACTTCTGATAGCATTATGAATGGTCTACACCATGCAGTATGAGGTTCATTTCTCATCCAGGATTTGGTTTTGGGTGATGAAAGCCCTTCCAGCAGCATTGCACATGAGTCACTGTAGAAAGAAACTCATGGGACAAGCTATTTCTGTTTCTAATGAGCTTGTGATCAGCAATGTCCTTGACAGTCAGATTGCAGCCAAATAATAGCCTATGGAGTTTTAAGGAGAAAATTTCACAAACATTCCTCCTGGTGAAGTATTTATGAGCTTGTTTGAGTGGAACATATTCAAAAAAGGAAGGGCAAAGAAGGCTGACCATAAGACCAAGGTCTGTACAGAGCTACAAGGAATGTGTCAATTAAAAGACTGCCAGAGTGCCTGTGCTAACACCTTATTCTAAATATGAGTGTTTATTGCACAGTTCACAGCAAAAGAAGCACGTAAGCACTAAAGAATTTATTTTCAGGTTAATGTATAATAAAAATTCAGCATCCTCAGGTACAGTCTTTTGAAATCAGCTAGTAGTGGAAAAAAACCTTTGAAGATCCAGATTTGGCCCCACAGCCTCTTTTTTGCTATTTCAGCTAATAATTCAGTGTAAAGGTTGTCCAGTCTGTCTAAAGGAGAAAATATGCTTGTCCTTTAGAACAATAGTTAGGACTAAACTATTGAAAAAAATATAAATCCACATCTACTAAAATCTCTCTTATATCCAATTTTACTTGAAAGTACATTTTCTTCCAACATTTTTATTACCATAATATATTATATTCCAACTACTTCAAGAAGACCAAACAATGAAAAACAAAAGTGAAAATTAAAATTTTGGCTTTTTGATAAATCATAGAATTAAAGAATGGTTTAGGTTGGAAGTGACCTTAAAGCTGATCTAGTTCTGATCCCCCTGTCGTGGGCAGGGACACCTTTCACTAGACCAGGTTTCTGAAAGCTTCATCAAACCTTGCCTTGAACACTGCCAGGAATGGGAGATCCACAACTTCTCTTGGCAACCTGTGTCGGTGCCTCACCACCTTCACAGGAAAGAATTTCATCCTAATAGCTAATCTAAATCTACCTTCTTTCAGTTTCGTAGAATCATAGATTTTGCTGAGTTGGAATATTGGATTGTGACATGTTGTTTCCTGATTAAGAACAAAGTTGATTAAAACATCTGAACTACAGTTTACGACTATGGCCCTAAAATAATACTTACCTGTTAGAAAGCTATTAGGTCTTTAGAGAACATTTGTGAAGTTTATGAAGGTAAATCAAGAGTGCTTAGCTTCAGACAAATAAGAAATGCTATTGTCTGTTTCCTATTCTGTTGGTGTTGCCCAATTCCCTAGCTGCATGTACATCTGGGGGAATTAAGCCTACTTGAATCTTTTTAGATTAAAGCAGTTACAACTCAGAGGTACAAACCAATATATCTAAATGAATCAGCCTTGTCATTTTGAAATTTCATGTACACTACAGAGTGAAAGAGGGGGTGGGTTTGACACTTGTGATGGTCCAGTTATTTTTCTGGCATAAAGATGCATGAAAAAATTGTACATGGACTGGAAGAAGGAAGGGAGAATTCTGTATGAAGTAATTACTGTTATTTCCCAAATGGGTCTTCTACAATTACATTTGATACCACATTTGATTGCCTTACAATGGTTGGTTAACTAAAGCAATTTTGTTTCCAGTTGGGTTGCAATATTAATTGTACTTACACATGTATAAACATTAGGGGTATCTCATTGATATTTTAACAAGGGGAGTCTATATGCATGGCCTATTAACATCCACGTATTTATATGAAGACCAAAACTCAGACTTTTAAGAATTAATTATCACATAAAAATGCAACACAAAAAATTCTTTCAATATGCCTTATCTTTAAATCAGTACTGTAATTTTATATTCTTCTGTGTAAATGATGATTATCTGTGTCCTGGTATTTCTGAGACAACATTTGCACTGATGATAATATGCAGGCTGGTATTTATGTACCAACCAGGCTTAAAGGTAATGACCAAAAGTCATGGGAATAGGACTTTGGAATTATGATTTTTTTTTCTAGTAGAAATGTTGGCTGCGTAAAACTGTAGTGAAAAGTTGCTCAGCAAAGAAATGGAAGATGAAAAGAATAACTGAGATAAGTCTATCACAAGAATTGGTCCAAACAGTGACCTGCAAGAGCAGAGCAGTAGTGGGCATCTCTGTTGTATCTTGCAGATTGGAGATTTTCAGGACTGTCTGTAATTTATTGTGGATGCTACAATAATGCTAAAACATTGCATCTTAAAAACCTCAACTGAAAAACAAACAAACCACCCAACAAACTATCAACTTTAACACCGTTTCCCTGTAAAGAGGCAATTTACTAAACATGTTTTGTCTTTTGAAAGAGGAAAAAACTCTGTGAAGGAAACAAACTAGAATCCTTTTTCTCTCAGCTCATCGGAGGGAAGATACAGCTCTGTCATGGATTGTACCTCTGGTATTCCTCTTGTGTGCAAAGAGCATCTGTGAGAAATGATACTATTTAGATTTGGCACCAGACATGAGGTACAGGGAACTGGTCCCCACAGGCACAAAGCAGATGTGGGATCCTTTCCTAGTAAGTCATATATACTTTATAATTTTCTGGAAGTTTTAATAACACTAAACACAGGCAAAATGTCAAAGCTGTCTGTATCTTCACACAATGCTCTGATCCAAAATTCAG